TCTGAACCGTGAGGCTTGTCATACACTAAATACATTAAAATAATCAGCTTAGAATCAAAATACCTATAACATACATTAAAAAAATCCCAAAACAAATTGTATTAACCAGATACCTCAAAAGCATGAGACCCCATCACTGTACTTGGCATTCAGCATGTTGGTTGAGTCTAATATTCTACATCGGGGTCTCCAACTTTTCTAAACAAAAGGGCCCATTTACTGTCTTTTAGACATGGGGGGGGGCAAGAAAAGGGCCACATCCAGCCCCCAGTCCACAGTTTGGAGACCCCTGGTCTCCCTTTGGATATGATAGTAATTGCTGGAGCTGCAATCCAACTTGCATCATTTTGATGCTAACTACACCCCATAACTCTGAACTGTGAGGCTTCTCATACACTAAATACATTAAAATAATCAGCGTAGAATCAAAATAACTATAACATACATAAACAAACCAAAAATAAACTGTATTAAGCAAATAACTCAAAAGCATGAGATCATATCACTGTACTTGGCATTCAGCATGCAGAATGAGTCTAATATTCTACATTGGGGTCTCCAAACTTTCTAAACAAATGGCCCCGATTTACTTTCTTTCAGACATGAGAGGGGGGCAAGCAAAGAGCCACATCTGGCCCCCTGACCACAATTTAGAGACCACACTTCTACACGATTAATACCAAGGGCAGTGATTGGGTAAAAGATGTTCTCTGATTAACTGAAGTGGAATTCTTATAGGATCATAAAGTGTTTGTTGTGATCTGTCTCTGCTCCCAGCAACTCTTGATAGCACATAAGGCATAACACAAATTTTTATTGCAAATTTGAGCCCCTTTTAAGACTAAGACTGCATTTAACTAGGAAGGCAAAACTTCCTCAATTATCGATAACTGTATCCAAACCCAAAAAACTAAAATTTAATATAATGCAGCTTGGGAGTGCTTGGATATGGTGGCAGCATTGGCTTTCTTTTTTTCATACTTTCCCTATATTTTCACCTATTTTTCCTGTGTTTAACACCTTCTATTCTTTTGTGGGAATGTCCACTCCACTGTATCTATGGCAGGAGCCTTGGTTGTCACTTCAAACTTGCCATTTTTTTTTCATCTTGATTACATGGGGGTGGGGGGGAATTGTAATTGTTGTTTAGAGAAAAAAATAACATTGTTTATGCTTTTAGTTCAGCTCACAACTAAGTGTTAAGGACGCCTCATTTCTGGCGAGATCAGCATTTATTTTATTTACTTGCTGAAAATGTTTTGAGCTTGAAAAGGAAACTAATGCAGCCACCAGGATGGAACTAACCCAGCAATATATTATATTCTTGTACTGATTGAAAACCTCCAACAGGACTTTACATGGCATAATAACTAATATATATGAAAAATACTAAATATTTTATTGTATGCAATGATAAAATAAAATTCCATAAAAATCTAATTTCTTCAGCAAAGTTGTACATCTTAGATGGAAAGGCAAAACTCATACAGTACATAACTGGTGGGAACGGAATCATAAACATCTCTTACAAGAATGTCTTCACAGCATGTGTCCCCAGCAAGATAGTTAACTTCCAGTTATACTGTATATGAGTTTTGCCTTTCCAAATAAGATGCACAACTTTGCCAAAGAAATGTGATTTTTATGGAATTTTGTTTAATTTGTTTATTGATGTTTATACACACAATATGAAATGTTGCATTAGGTAGTGATAGCACTGTCTTTACATATTTATTGCATTTTGATGGTATTTAAATCATACAGATAGTTGCTGCACTAGACATAGTGTTTGTTTATTTTTTTCTGTGGCAAAGAATACTGCGGTACCCTTCCATCTATTCTGGACTCGCCAGCAATGAAAAAAATCCTACAGAGTCCTCTTTGTTGGGGACTGGGAAGCTGTGTTTGCCATAATTAAGCCCATATATACTGTGCAGGCAGATTTTTATTATCAAATTTAACTACATTTTAATACTTTCTGTCCCAACAAAAGGACAAAGGTGTAGAGGCTGGGCTTTTTGCATTGTATGTTAATGAGGACAGACTCACTCTAAAGTCCTGTATACACATTGAGAATATCGGAAGAATGATCATCCAGTTTTTTGGGTTTTTTTTGCATGCTAGTCTCATATTAAAAGTGAAGAGGTTACTAAAGTTATGAAAATTCTCATATGACAGAATAAAAATTCGGAAGTGATATAATGTATTTGTATTGTATTTTCGGATGAACACTGTACTGGTAAAATGGAAATTGTACAATCTGGTAAAGTATAGGTACAATTTTCATGCTTGTTCCTTTGAGATCAGATCATCGGACGATTGCTTTGAAAGCGGCATTTTTTGCATGATTTTCTGATCCTGTGTATGGGTTGTTACCTAGTCTCATATTAAAAGTGAAGAGGTTACTAAAGTTAAGAGCATTCTCATAGGACAGAATAAAAATTCAGAAGTGATGTAATGTATTTGTATTGTATTTTTGGAGGAAAACTGTACTGGTTAAATGGAAATCGTATGATCTAGTATTGTATGGCAAAAATGTGCGTTTGTCCCTTTGAGTAACTTCGGACGATTGCTGTGTACAAACAGATTATCGTACGATTGCTTTGAAAGTGGCATTTTTCGTACGATTTTCTGATTGTGTGTATGGGTCGTTACCTTGTCTCATATTAAAAGTGAAGAGGTTACTAAAGTTAAAGTGTTACTAAACCCACAACAGTAAAATCAGCCTGTATATGAAGTAAAGCATGCTTGTTATACTCACTGTGGAACCTAAGGGGTTAATCCTCTGCATTGTGTAAAAAGGCTGTTTGATCCTTAGTTCTCTGTTCATCCCCTTTTTCAAGCAACCACCTCTTATCTCCAGACTGAACCGTAGGCATGCATATGCTCAGTTTGGTGTGTATTGATAGAGAGGTTTGTTTTCTTTTCTTGGTATAGTGCATGTGATCAGCACAGGGCCAATCAGTACTGTCCAAACAGAGGTCAGGGGATCTGCATCCTCCTAGAGCAGAAAGAAACTTCCTCCTACAAGCTTTAGCTAGTGGTGGGCTGGACACTGATAGAAGCCACAAGACTGCTTTAACTGCTGATGAGAAAAGGTACTTAGTAGTTTATATTCACTAAAATAATTGCATTTCCATGTTCTGTGTACTGTGGGAGACCATAGTGAATGCAGGGACCTGGGTTTAGTAACACTTTAAGAAAATTCTTGTACGACAGAATAAAAATCCGGAAGTGATGTAATGTGTCTGTATTGTATTTCCAGACAAACACTGAACTGGTTAAATGGAAATTGTATGATCTGGTATCGTATGGCAAAAGTTTGCGTGTTTGTCCCTTTGAGTAACTTCGGACGATTGCTGTGTATGAACAATCAGATTATCGTATGATCACTTTGAAAGCAGCATTTTTGGATGATTTTCTGATCGTGTGTATGGATCGTTACATTGTTAAAAAAAAAAAAAAAAACTTGCAGTCAGCCATGATGCCTCCTCCTGAGAAACATCTAAAAAGTAAGACATATTTTAAAAAACAGGTATGGTGCAAATAGGTATGGAGTGGGAATGGGAACACAACAAATATATAGTAGAGTTTTCTCAAATGTGACTGCAAAAGTAGAAATATTCTTTAAATCTACTTAATTACTTAGCCTACTGCACTTAGATCCTGGTCAGTGTTTTTTTTTACTCTGCCTTACTTGAATAAAGCCCTATAAAAGAAGAAGAGCTATATGTACCTTTATGGTGGCCTGTGTCTTGAAATGCTCTCCAGCCATTTACAGGTGTCTGAATATCTACTGCTCTCGAACAGTTTCCCTGCCAGCTCTTATGTCACTACAGTACATGGGAGCTAGTGGGAGGAAACATTGCATGCAGTGAAGGGAGTAGATACCTGCAGCAGGTGGAGAACTGCAACGTTTTAAAACACTGTGGTTACATGGTCACTTTAAGGCCCAAGTATACTTTTAGTTTAAATCAGCTACAGTGAATATATTACAGGTGCATCAAAATAAAAGGAGGGGTATTTATCAAAGCTTAAAGCAGAGTTCCACCCAAAAAAGGAAGTTCCGCTTTAATACCTGAATTTGACAGGTACCCGCTCCCACTGCGATCACCTAGGCCAGGGGTGGGCAACTGTGGCCCTCCAACTGTTGCGGAACTACAAGTCCCACCATTATTATGCTTCTGGGAGTCATGATTTAAACTGTCAGTCTTGCAGTGCTTCATGGAACATGTAGTTCAACAGCAGCTGGAGGGCCACAGTTGCCCACCCCTGACCTAAGCGATCGGAATTGGAAGTTGTCCTCCCTCCCTGTAGTCTTCTGGGACACGTGACAGGTCCCAGAAGACTACAGGGCCATTCACAAAGCGCAGCGCTTCTCACGCATTCGCAGTGGGCACCCGGCTGTGAAGCTGCAAGCTGTCACAGCTAGGTGCCCACGCTAAAGATGCCGACGCCAGGCAAACAAGAAGGCCGGTGAAACCAGCAGTGGTAAGGACACAACTGGACCGAGGGACAGGTAAGTATTGGGTGGCTGTATTTTAAAAGCAGCAGCTATAGTTTTTGTAGCTGATGACTTATTTTTCAGCTGGAACTCCGCTTTAAGCAGCCAGAAACTGAAGCAGCTATGCATGGCAGCCAATCAGTTTCTATATTTCATTTAGAACGTCCAGCTGAATAAGATGAAGATAAGCCTGATTGGTTGACAAGCACTGCTGTTCCAGATTCTGGCAGCGTCAGTTTTGATAATTTACCCTCAAGGTGTTCATGGTCTTACAGTTAGTTTAATTAGAAAAAAGTCACACCTTGAGTAGAAAAGGTTGTCACCTGCCAGCATAATGTATGGGGGTGTGGATCACACCTGGATCTAAGTTCTGGGTTTTTTTTTCATTTACAATGTAACCATGTAAAATAAAAATAATGACACAAAATTAAATTTACATTAGATTTTCGATGTCATGCAGCTTTTTTCACTTTTTATGCTCTTTTGCTCATTTCAGGTTCTATGATGAGATCGGAACACCATTGTTATCTGATATTCGAATTGACTATTCACCGGATAGTGTAGAATACGTCACACAGAACATGTTTTACAACTACTTTAATGGGTCCGAAATAGTGGTGGCCGGAAAACTGATGAATAAATCCAGCGATGCTTTGCATGTGGAAATCACAGCAAGTAACAGAAACAAATATGTTGTTCTCGAAGCCGATGTAAAGATTGAAGGAGCTGGACAAAAGGAGATTACAAAATCTCAGATTATTGAGGACAACAAACAATACAGGAACCACATAGAACGGCTGTGGGGGTACCTGACATTCAAGGAACTCCTTACAGCTTGGCATAAGAGTGACAGAGACCAAGAGAAGGAGGAAATAACAAGAAAGGCCAGCCAACTTGCACTGAGGTATAATTTTGTCACACCATTCACACTGCTAGAAGTAAAGGACTATGGCTTCCAGGCGGATCTTCCCAAAGAAGAGTCAGCCAGCCTTTATACAGAGGGGATCGGACAGAAACTGCTCAGCCTACAAGGAAGAAAAGTAACAAAAGGTACCTCAACTATATAGAGTTGTAGTAATTGAATTCTGGAAATGCAAAATACTTGTAAATGTGTTAGGCTGGGTTTAGACGTGCGGATAAATTACCGATCCACATTCAGTTTGCTTTTCAGTGGCTGTTGACACGTAATGAGGTGGTGATATGATGTCTCCTTACTTCCCATTTGAAAGTGATATTAAAGGTTTATTTATTCATTTTTTAAATAACAAACATGTCTATACTTACCTGTTGTGTGCAGTGGTTTTGCACAGAGCAGCCTGGATCCTCCTCTTCTCAGGACCCCGCAGGCTCTCCTGGCTTCTCCTTTCTGTCAGGTGCCCCACAGCAAGCAGCTTACTATGGGGGCACCTGCTGCTCCGTGTGTCCATTCATGCACAGAGCCATGGCTTGGTCCCGCCCCCTCTCTCTCCTCATTGGCTGACTAGCTTTGATTGACAGCAGCAAAGCCAATGGCTCCTGCTTGCTGTCTCAGCCAATGAGGAGGCAGAGACCCGCGACAGCCAAGGCTGTTGTGCACATTGCTGGATCTTGACGGGGCTCAGGTAAGTATTGAGGGGCTGGGGGAGCATCTGCACACAGGTTTTTTACCTTCATGCATAGAATGCATGAAGGTGAAAAACCTTGAGCCTTTATAACCGCTTTAACCCCGTAAATGCATTTATGTGGTTGCGACGCATTTGTAGTGTGTCTTTGTTCACTTGGAGAGGCAGTACTGAATGTCAAATGTGATGGGGGGAGATCATTTTTGCTACAGACATAAAGCAAAGTGTTGCAATTGTGGCATGTAAACTTCCCTGCCCACTGCCTTTTCAGCTTAAAGCGGAGTTCCACCCAAAAGGGGAAGTTCTGCTTTAAAGATTTGTCCCCCACTCCTCATTAAGGATTGGCACCTTTGGGGAGCGGAGGGGGGGAACGGGTACTAAATTTGATAGGTACCCATTCCCACTTCCGCTGCGATCGCCTAGGCGATCAGAAACGTAATCTGTCCTCCTGTCCTCCCTCCCCGAAGTCTTGTGGGACTTGTGATATTTCCCAGAAGATGACGGGCTATTCAGGAAGTGCAGCGCTACTCTCGCAGTTGGCACACGGCTGTGAAGCCGCAACAGGACGGCCAGTGAAACGCGCTGCAGTGTGGGCAATGCGGGATCGTGGGACAGGTGAGCGGCTGTTTTTTAAAAGTCAGCAGCTACAGTTTTTGTAGCTGTTGACTTTTATTTTTTACAGAGTAAATGGAACTCCGCTTTAAGGGAGGTGCTTGGGAGGTACTAAAAATACAGCTCAACTGCATGTTTTTAATGCCTTCCCCAACTGCAAGGTTAAACAAGCCTTTAGATTATTATTAATGGTTTGTTCTAATTTCCTCTTTTGTTTAAAACAGAACTTCAACTTTTCTGCACATTTTTTCTCCAAGGGCCTTCTGTCCAGTCTGCCAACATCACCGGTGCTCACTCCTGCACCAAATGGTGCACGCGTGACCACCCTTTAATGCAGTATATACTCTGAGCCCAGGCCGATATGACGCCGCACCACCAGGGAAAGAGGGGTGCCCATGGCAGCCTGGGCTAAGAGAAAGTAGGCTGAATGAGCATGGCAGCATCTAGCAGCAGAAAACATTACTGCAGGTGGGGCTTATGGGGCACCCAGTCTTGATTTTTTTTATTTTTACAGATATGTGAATAATTATTTTTTTCCAAGAGTTCTCCTTTTAATTCTTAAATGTCTTAGTTATAATGCATGATATAACCCCATTTTATGTGTCTTGACTGCACTTTTTCCATATCACCCTGTTCACTAATTTTGCCAGTTGTTAACATGCTTTGTGGACAGAACCAAATGACCTTGACTTGTTTGCAGATGCCGGCCATACATAGTACAGGTAAGAATAACTTCAGGAGTGAAGTCTTGGCCACTGGAAAGCCAAGTCAATGAGAAATAGAGAAAGATTAGCATGTCAATTAAGCTTCTCTAAAGTAGAACATTACCAAGCACAATGTACCCGTCTCAAGGCTTTTATCTCACATGTGCTGCTTCAACCCAATATATTGAGTTTTACAATGGCGGGTGCCAATGCCAAAAAGAAGATGAGTCCATTGACTACCTGTCATTCTCAGGAAGACTTCCAGGCAAACTGCTAAATGCATTGTTGGAATTCATATATTGGAGCTGCGTTACTTGCTGATTTACACAGCCTTGCCAGACTGAACTGAGGAATAAGTTGGTGACCTCAGTTGTGTCTACTGCAGTTCAGAAACAAAGTTTGGTTAACTGCCTGGCCCCAGCATGTGATTGGACAATGAAGTACTGTAGCTACAGCAGCAGACTAATGAGGTCATCTCTCTCCTCTTGTCAGCATTTTCCTTGTCAGCAGATGCACATGCCGCAAATCCACCTTGGCTCTCTCTACCATTTTGAGTGCTGCTGTACAGGGGAGTACAGGAGTTTTGTATCACATTCAGGTACTAACACTCTTTTTTAATAAATATAGAACTTTATTAATTTTGTCTTCTCTTGGCCTGGAATTCAGCTTTAAGCTTGTGTTTTTGTTGTGCCAGCCTATAACAATAATAAGAAAGTGTGTCGTGCAAATTGCAAGGCTAAGAAAATAGGCAATGAGGCTTTCCAATTTTTTTTTTTTAAATACTTGACATCAAGCCAATGAGGTCTATTACAGCTTTTCTAACAATACAAGCTCAGTGTGTATTATCAACGGAAATGTGTTATCATGAAGGAAGCCTGACACTCTCAACTCTGTTGTTTTTAGGAGTTTTAATGAAACAGGTGTCTGACTTTTTTTTTTCTCTTACTAGAACCTCCATCTCAACAGATAGGCAAACAAAAACCACCAATGTCTAAAACTTCAGGTAATCTACAAGGAACTTGCTTTCATGTCTAAAAACTTTGTGGCCTCACATGATTTGGATAAACAGTCCAATGATGTTTAAATAATATGTTCCCCAACATTTCATATCCCTGATATGTGTCTGTTGTACCTTGTACTTCTGTTATAAGTATCCTGTTCTCTTTGTTTTAATGCGTGAAATACCTGATGATCCTGCCAGTCCCCCTGCTTTCTTATTTTTTAAACTGACCACACTAGGCATGGAAGCATATCCATCCTAGTTTTCTGGCTGTGCCTATACTCCAGTGGTCAAACCTGTGCTGACATGCCCCCCTGCACAGCTCTTCACTAGAAAGATTATTGTACTGCAGTTTCTCCACACCCACCTCCCTAAGCCCCTTATGTAGCTGAGAACAGAGATTACGTGATTACTTATTAAAAAAAAAAAAAGGTATTTATAAAGGTGTTTTTACATATATATACACACAAAAATGTTTTGCCTTTTTTAAACTGAATGGGTTGTTTTTGTAAGCTAAGGGTTTACATATACACTAAGGATGTGCTGGTGTGGAACTCATTCAAACATGATCTTAATCTGGCTTTAAGATCTATCTTTGTAATTTGTAATTTTATTTAACATATCTGTCCCCTATAGGACAAAGTAAATACAGTACTTTGCCCCATGTTTTAAGTGCTGTATAATCCTACCACAAAATGAAATACAATCATACCCCTTATGCCCTGTATACACGATCAAAATATTAGACGAATGATCGTCCGTTTTTTTCCTGCTAGTCTCATATAAAAAGTGAAGTGGTTACTAAAGTTACGAAAATAGCTGTACGACAGAAAGAAAATTCAGAAGTGATGTAATGTATTTGTATTCTATTTTCGGACGACAACTGTGCTGATTAAACGAAAATTGTACGATCTGGTATTGTACGAAAAAAAAATATTTTGTGCTTATCCCTTCAAATAATTGCAATCGAAAGCTGTGCACGAAACGATCAGATTATCTTATGCAGGCCATAGATCGCTTCTAAAGCAGTATTTTTCGTTACGATTTTTTTGATTGTGTGTACTCAATGAGGCTTTTTCGAGCAAACATCCAGGTTTCAGCTACAGTCCATGCTTCTTAGCCAGGGGCTGATGTGTTTTACCCTGATTGGACTTAGTCATTTAGAGCAATGACTTGGGAAGCAGAATAAAGACATTTCTTGCTTTCCTGATACAACGTGTATTCACAGTCACTATATTGTACTGGATATGGCATAACTACTAGTGTGCTGCTAGTGTAGGTGCTCAACATGAGGTACTATTAATCTGCCATTTGTCTCAGATTAAAGGGATTTGTCAGCATGGAAGGAAGTATTTCGAAATACAGCAGTTTGTTCTTTCTATAGTGACTTTTTAGCATCCAGAGTAAATTTAAACTTAATTTCTGCTACAAAACCTCCTACAGATGAAATATATACATTTCTCTGTTCTAATGAATATTCTGTTTGTATCATCAAGTGCTTTCTCAAAGTGATTTCTTAAAGGTAGGGACTGTTTTCACTCTAATTGTCTGTGCAATCTCTGTGTTCTAATAAGAAAAGCTGCAGTATTTGCATCCTTTTAGGTGAGAATAAACTTTAGATAGTGTATTACTGAAAATGAAACGAACACTATTAAGGATGCCCATAACTTAACTTGTATCGCAGTGGAGTCTTCTGGAAGTAGCAGTGAGACAGTCACACAAATAGTAAATAATAGGTCCTCTAGGGTGCCATATTGCAAGTTATCAAATTTTTTGACAGTTCTTGCCATTTGCGAATGATTGCACCAAGAGTTGTCACCTTCTCACCAAGCTGCTTGGCGATAGTTTGGTAGCCCAGTCCAGCCTTGTGTAGGTCTACAATCTTGTCCCTGACATCCTTGGACAGCTCTTTGGTCTTTGCCATGGCAGAGAGTTTGGAATTTGATTGTTTGATTGCTCCTGTGGACAGGTGTCTTTTATACAGGTAACAAAATGAGATTAGCAGCACTCCCTTTAAGAGACTGCTTCTAATCTCAGCTTGTTTCCTTCTGAATGAATGATAGCGGATCAAATACTTATCCCCCTCATGAACATGCAAATCAGTGCATAATTTTTTAGACGTGGATCTCTTTTGATTTTTTTGTTGCTAT